GATAATTGAGTTGTGCAAACGAATTGTTTTTCCGTTGTTATATAGAAGGAAATGTTAACCTTCATGAAGATGATGTGATAAAAGAGGTTTATCATGCCACACCTTCGCATTTTCCTTATATAAATGTGCATTCTCATAGGCTTGGGTTCAGAATTCTTCCATCTCATTCAACTCTAGCAATCTTCTCTCACCAGCTAGATGGACAACTAGGTTGAACGTTTTGATTGCTCAATAGGCTTTATGCTCTAGCTCAACAGGGAGACGACACACCTTGCCATAGACAAGCTTGAAAGGTGACATCCCAAGTAGGGTCTCAAATGTTGTGCGATATGCCCATTGTACTTCGTTGAGCTTGGGGGACCAGTCCTTCTGTTGAACTATGTTTCGATATAACAATTTAAGGCAAAATGGTTTTTGGACTTGAATTGAATTTACAAAAATGGTTTTTGGACTTGAATTGAATTTACAAAATGTTTTTGGACTTAATTGAATTTATTCAAAATTTACAAAAATAATTCAAAGTTCTTTTAATTTAAAATTGAGCACAAAAATGTTTTTATGAATAGTAATTTACTATTTGAACAGTAATTACTATTTGAATTTACAAAAATGTTTTTAATTTACTATTTGAACATTAACCCGAGGCTCAAAAATTCCAGTTTGTAAAAGGGGAACCGATTCCCCCCAAGGGGTACCGATTCCCTCACTGTTCATCAGCCCAACGGTCATAATATTTGAATATTATGAAGGGGTATCGATTCCCTATGAAGGGGTACCGATTCCCCCTATTCTGGGCAGCCTTTTTGAGTAGAAAAATCATTCCCAAACGGCTCCAAAACATCCCCAACGGCTAGATACGACTTCAAACTCATTTCAAGCTATAAATACAAGCTAAGGACACTTGAAGAAGAAAGAGAACAACTATCCAAGCAATCAAACACAAGAGAAGAGTTTTTCAATCTTATTTCATCTTTCTCTTGTAAATATTTTGTTCTTGTGAGCTCAATCTTGTAAACACCTACCTTAGAGAGGTTTTCTTGTTTACACTTATTATCCTTTTGTAAAGGGGAAAGGTTATAGCTTAGCCCGTGTAAAAGCTAGGGGAAAGGTTCTAGCTTAGCCCGTGTAAAAGCTAGGGAAAGGTTCTAGTTTAGCCCGGAAAAACTAGGGAGTTGTAAGGTTATCTCTTTGTCCTCAAAAGAAAGAACAAATTAGTGAATTTGTTGGAAAATCCTTGGTGAGGAGCTAAGGTAGTGGATGTAGACTTTGGTTGATAAAGTCGAACCACTCTAAATCGCTGTGCAATTTTCTATCTTTCAATCTCCTTACTCCCTAAACACAAAACCATTCCGACCCCTCTTTGCAAACCGTTTCGGTTGTCGATTCGAGCTTCCGAAAATCCTAACACCTTCCTCTTAGGGTTGACCACTTTATCAAGTATTTGTTTTATATCTCATTTGGAGACCTTAACTTTTCCATTGGTCTGGGGTGGTATTTTGTAGCAACCTTGTGCCTCACCTTATTGTTGTCACCGTTTTCGTCCGGGTGGGGGAAAACTATGACGACAGCTTGGTGACTCCGCTAGGGATGTTTTGTTTTTTAAACAACTTGAGAGTCTAGCCACGAGTTGGTTACGCTATATTTAGGATTCTGAAAATTATGAGTTCGATTTTATTTAATTTACAGTTCAATATGTTATTTCAAAGAAAAAAAGATTTTCTCTGGCTAATGCTTACACTTCTGTGAATATTTAGGACTATTGCATATCATAGCTCTAAACCTGAGCTCAATCCCGGTTTACCTAAGTAAGGGAAATGTCACACCTCATGGGGAGCATTGAGATTCCTAGTGTAGGTCTAACAAATTACCTCTGGAAAGCATCATAAGTTGCATGTTCGAATATCAGTTTCGAGGCACGCTTTTAGTGGTGTGATCCCTTGAGACGAATCCGATTCGCAAGTCTGTAATGGGCCAAAATCAGAGTCAACCTTAGCAGGTTGTAAAGATGGCTTGGGAACCCTTTGATAGAACCTTTTGATACTCTCCTCCTATGGTATCGATAATTCCCCGAGAATCGGTACCAAAATTAAATTTGATATTTTGGAAAATACCTCAGTATCGATACCCCTCCTGAGAGTATCGATGCCTTACCCCCAGTATTGGTACTCCTTTGAGTACCGATACCAAAATTACATTCAATGTTTTGAAAAAACCTTGATATTAATACCCTAGTGGAAGTATTGATACTCTACCATCAGTATCTATATTCCCATGTGTATCGATACCAAAATTGACTATTGGAATATAATCAAGCCCTCGAGTATGATACTAGGCCTTTGAGTATCAATACCACAAGAGAAGTATCGATACTCCTTGAAGAGGTATCGATACTCTCCTCACAAACCATTTAAATTTTGCCCAATCTCGACGATCAGTGTCGATACTGTTCATACAGTACATATACCCTCAACCTAGAAAACTCTATTTCTCTCGTCTATAACCTTCCAAAAAACTCCTAAGGTGTCCCCAAGGCCCCCAAATAATGTTTAAAGCTTATTTATTGTTTAAGGATCATAAATGGACACTACTTCATACATGAACAATAACAAAGTCCCGTTTTTATGATTTGAACCCCCAAATACACCCAAATGAATCATATACTCTTACAAGCATTAAACTACACGTGTTGATCTACAAGCAGTAAAGAAAGGTTAAGAGTGCGTTAAAAGGTAGGGGTTGGGAAAATGACCTCAAGCTCACCCAATGACCTCTTTCTCCTTGCCCTTCACCTTTGAGCTTTAACTTACCTCTCTCACAAACCAAAAGCAATTAATTAGATTGCTAACTTACTTGAAGACTTATAAAAACGTATAAACCTGATTCTAAAATCTTAGGGACGGATTTGGAACACCCAAGAGCTCTAAAATCTAAAATTCTTCTAAAACCCTCATATTGGCCATCATAACCAAAACATGAGAAAATCGGTTGAAAATGAAGATTTAGATATAGAGATTACTTTTCTTACTTTCATAAATTTGGTCTAACACGAATGGATGGCAAAGCTTTCACCTTTAGAACATACAAGAGTGGAGAAGAAGAGTTTTTGAATAAATGAAGAAGCTAAGAATGAAGTGGGATCATTTTTACAATGACATATGCTCATTTAAAGGTTTTCAACCTTTAAAGACTTTTGGGGTAATTTATAACTCTAGTCCTTCCTTAATTATGCCCAATTCAAAAATACCTTTTTTTACTTCATAATTAGCTCAATCAAAGCCCAAACCACTTCATACTTAGACAAGAGCGACTCACAATCCTAAAGGGTTTATATAATTCTCTCTCGGATTAGCTCGAATCTATTAATTTGGGAATCGGGGGCGTTACAACAAATCTATTTTTATTATGTCGTTCTTATTACTTACTTATATCACTATTACATTAAAAAATAATTTTCACTTAATTTAAAAATAAAAATAAATAAATAATTTATATATATATATTTATAAAGTTTATATGAAATAATTAAAAAAGTATATTTATAATGATTATAAAAATATTTATTTAATTTTTAAAATCATATGATTTATTTATTTTAAATAATATTAATTATTTATTTTAAATATATTATTTTTAAATTATCTATTAAATTTTAAATAATATTATATGGGACCAAAGTGATAGTTAGATACTAAACACATAATTTATCCTAAATTTAAATTATTTAAAATTAAATAAAAAAAATTTGAAATAATATTATTTCAAGTAAATAATTAATATAATTTTATAAATTAAATAAATACTTTTATAATATTATAAATATACTTTTTATAATGATTTCATATAAATTTTAAAAAATAAATAAATTATTTAATTATTATTTTTAAATAAAGTGAAAAATAATCTTTTAATTTAATAATAATATAAGTAAGTATTAAATTCAATATAATAAAAGTTATTCACATTATAGTTGAGTGGCTAAGCTTTCAATTATTAATATAAAATGTCATATATTTGAATCTTATAATAAAAAAATATTGATTTTTGTAGTGATATCGTTATATAAGTGAAATACAAAATGTGATGAAATTTACCCAAATGATTAGCTTAGCTTAATGGTGGAGTGTTTTGTATCTCATGTATAAGAATAATAATAATAATTAAAAAAAGTGATGTGATAATTAAAAATAATAAAAATTTGACATATCATGCCATGTAAGCATTACCATTAATGGTTTTAAAGAAAATTAAAGTTTAGATATCAAAGCGAAAAAAGTGATAATTTAGGTACAAAACATGTAATTTATCCTTTTAATACTTTTATTAAATGAGAATATTTTAGTTAGTGTTGTGTTTCGATATGTCGTTTTAATGGTACGTTGCGGAGTGCAACATATAACGTAAAATTTTCTTCAAAAAGGAGTAAAAATATGAGTTTAGTGATATGTCAAAAAATTACAAAACAATTAATTTGTATATAATAAAAATATAAAACCATAAGAATAATATATATTAATATTTATTTATTTAATGTATCTTAATTTTAGTAATTTTATTATTTTCGCCCAAAATGCGGGTTTTCCAATTCCAAGTAATACATAAATATATCATGAAATATAAATAATAAAAATATATAACATTTAAAACAACTAGTACATACTCCTATTAAATTATAATTGTCCTTTACCAATTATGATGAAATACATAATAAAATATAAACCGCCTCTTCAATCTTCTCTATAAAAACCTCTCATTCTTTTCGTCTTTTATTTAACTAAACAAGCTTTCTTCTTCTTCTTCTTGGACTCATTATTATTCTTTGATTTTCATCTGTCAAAAACAAAACAAAATCTTTGATTTTCCTACACTGGGATGGCGGAGGCTCCCACCCAAACCCAACAACGTCGTCCGATCATCAACGTCGTTTTCCACCTTGGCGGCGGTGGAGCGAACGCCGGCAATAAACTGGGACCTCACCGGCGACAAAAGCTTCCATAGAAGCAATGCCGAAGATAAAAGTGAGAGAGAGTGGTAGGGATTGTAGTATTTGTTTGGAAGAGTTTGAAGTTGATGGGGAAGGTAGGGAGATGCCATGCAAGCACGTCTTTCATTCGGGTTGTATTGAGAAGTGGTTGCAGATCCATGGATCGTGCCCGGTTTGCCGGTTTTTGATGCCCGCCGAGACGGTCGAAGTCGGAGGCGGTCGTGGTTTGGAGTTTTTACATTCGCTTTTAGCTTATGCTAGCCGGACAAACTTGATAGGTGCAGCGGGTTCGGCTCGGGGTTCACATCAACCTGCTTCGGGTCGTGCTGATGATGATGATACACCTTCGAATTAGAAACTTGGATCGCGAGTAAAATCGTGGTTTCGCTTTATTCTATTTTTATTGATGTATTTACTTTTTATTTCTTTAAATAATAATAATAACAGTTTGTTTATTTTATATATTAAAATTTATCCCTTTTATGAGGTTAACCTAAATTATCTTTTAGAAACTACATCAATCGATTCGATTCGATCCGATTAGATGATTTTTGAGAAAAAAAATATAATTTCTACCAACATTTTAAAATTATTTAGATTTGTCTTTTGTCGTTATAGATACATGAGCTTAAATTGGAGTCATCGGGAAAAAAAAGCAAATCATCCTAAATGATTAAGACTTTTTAATAAATTTAAGAGTGAACAATTTATTAAATCCAAATCAAAATTAATGTTTATTAAATAAAATTTAGATTTTATTTTATTTTATTTTATTTTAATTGTAATCCATAAAAGTATTTTATAATTTTTTTATTTTGAATATTAAATGGATTGTAAATTCGGGCCCACAAATAAAAGGTAGGATGAAAAAAAACTTAGATTAAGAAAATAAAAAATTCAAGTCTCTTTCAGGCTCTATGAGCAAGTTTACTCTGTGTATATATATTTAATATTTTAATTTATTTGAGAATCGTGTTTATCGTGTATTGATATTTATATCATTGTATATGTGGAATATAAATATTAAATATAAATATAATAAATTATTTTATATATAGATTTACGTATATGTTATTCTATAAAAATTTATTTATTTTGATGATATATGTTCTATTTAAGATTTTTAAAATTAAATCAGATAAATTATGCAAAATAAACTTTACATAACATGTACACCAAATAATACTTCATAAATGTATCAAGAAATGTATCAAAATATCTTAAGCTATAGAAAACATACTAACTACTACATAATATATTATAAAAAATATAAATTTTTGCAACTCCTATGATTTAAACCCAAACCTTTAAATTACAAAAATTTATATACAACACCCTTAATTTTTACTGTGTTAGATTTCAACTTATTTTATATTAAAACATTACTTTTAATATTAGATATTAAATCTATTATTAAATTAAGTTAATAATACTTGACAAAAAAATGCATTAAATGTGATTCTAGTGAAGAAGTATTAGAAAATGAGGTAAGGGACTAATTTGTAAATATTGTAAAACATGAGTGGCAAAATTATAATTTTGCAGGAAAAAGGTGATAAGAAAGACTAAAGAGAGTTTATAGACCTTGTTTGATTATTAATTATGAATTTTATGAGTTTTATTGTAACCTCCAAAATTTCGAGTTAGTAGTTTTGGGTTTATCTAAAAGTGTTTTAGATGAATCATTAGCCTTGTAGAGAAGTTTAGGCCAAATAAGCTTGGTTTGGGCTTGATTTGGGCCAATGGATGGTAAAAGGGATTTTTATGTTATGATCAAAGTTAGAAGGACCAAAAGAAAGATTATACCATCTTTATTTTAAAAATCTAAATTCCATTAAAATTTTATAATCTCAAGCCTAAAACAAACCTTATTTTCCACACACTCTTTTTGTCTTCTTCCGTTCTTCTTCATCTCCTCCTTTCCTCCACAAGGATTTCAAAGGCCAAAACTTGGTGGTTCTACCAGCCTAGTCCAAATTTACAAAGGTAAGGGTTGTCATTCTCATCCTTAAAGCTTCAATTTAAGCCCACAAACACAAGTTTTGAGCCATGGTAGCTATAGAGAGGCTTTAGTGGGGGTTTAGAATCCCATGGTAAATTAGCTCGGCTTTAGGAAACTCAAGCCTTAGGAAATGTTTTTAACTCCTTTCTAAGCTCCCAAACACATTACTAATTCTAATGTGTTTGATTCTTTTCTAGTGAGAGAAGTTAGAGAAAACTTCAAGTTCAAGGGGAAAGAAAAAGTGACTCTTGGTTGAGCCTTGGAAACTCCAGCAGCTTTGAAATCTAAGGTAACTCACTTCTAACTTAACTCTATCACATGTAGGACAGCAGGTGTGTTTTGGTAGGTTGCATGAGTTATGAAGCATGTTCATGGTAAATTCAACAATTTGTATTTTTCAGCATGTTTATAGACCTATTATAACCCCTATAATCAGACATAACACTTTAATAATGTTTGGGGACCTTAATAAGACTTATAGGAGTGTTGGAGAGGTATTTTCGTACCTAAAACAGGGTATTTTTTGGCACGAGTATTGATACTAGAAAAATAATATCGATATTATTCTTTAGACGTTAAAAATAAAAGGGTTTTGGGCTAGAAGTATCGATACCCATGAAACGGGTATCGATATTGTAGGTCGGGTATCAATATTGTAGGTAAGGTATCGATACTCGCAGGGTGGTATCGATAACAAGTTCATTTAGCAGATTCCAGTAGCCACTTTTGGTATCGGTACTCATGGGAGTATTGATAACGAGGGTAAAGTATCGATACTCCCCAATAGGGGTATTGATAATTTTGGTATTTTTCAAAATATCGAAGTCAAATTTGACATTGATACTCATGAAAGTATTGATACTTATCGTTTGTTATCAATCTTTAATAAGTTAGTAGTATCGATACAAAGAGTTTAGTATCAGTGCCCAACGTTAGTATCGATTTCATTTTATAAATAAACTTTTTTCCGATTTCATTACAATTTAGTCCCTTCTTCAAGGGGTAAAAATAAAAGAATAAAAAATTGTATACTTAAATCTTTAGTTGCCACCGTTGTTTCGAGTGAAAGACACGTCGTCATCAACTCGACCCGAACCCATCACACCCATGAAGATAGCCAGTCCAGCCAAAGCCAAAACCGATTGGAAAACTTCCAACCCATTAATATTCTCCCCACCTTCCAATCCTTCCGGACCACCAGCACCGCCTCCACTCTCAGCCGTCTCGGCGGAGGGCATAAAATACCGACAAACCGGACATGATCCATGGATCTGCAACCACTTCTCGATACAACCCGAATGAAACACGTGCTTACACGGCATCTCCCTATCTTCTTCGTCAGCTTGGAACTCGTCCAAACAAATACTACACTCGCCGGGACTCTCCTTCACTTTAATCCTCGGCATTGCTTCTATCGAAGCTCTCGAAGCCGGCGCCGGCCCGAGTTTACTGCCATCGCCGGCGCGGAGGTTGAAAACAAAGAAGACTAGCCGAGGATGTTGTCGGTTTCCTGTGGGAGCATCCGCCATGTCAACGCAGTAGAAAAACTAAAGAGTTACTTTTTCTCTTTCTTTTTGGCAAAGGAAAGTGAAAGAGGAAGAGAAATATTTTGAATTGAATAAATGTTGAAAGAAAAGAGAATGATTTTTATAGAGGGAATTGAAGAGATGTTCAAGAAGGAATTGGATCTCAGGATGTCGATGAATCGTTACAGATTCTAGAAGATTCTGTTTTATCTATGCGTTGTTGAATCCTATTTGGAAACAAATATTATATTTTAGAATGTATTAGCTGCGTAAAGAATTCTATATTTAGATTTTGACATAGATTTTCTATATTTATCTTCTTTTTTGTTTTCTATCCAAAAATAATAATTTAATTATATAAATTCAAATATTTCAAATATTATATAAAATAGGGTAAATTACATTATTTGATTACTTTCGTTTTAATTTTATATATTTTTCTTTATTAAATTTAAAATTATAATATTTATATGCTTTCACTTTTATCTAATTAAGACGTTGCCACTTTTATTTGATTTCTTTACCAGTGACATATAAAACTTTAATGAATAAACATTTAAAATTTGATAAAGTGAACGATCACACCTAGCACAAATGAATATGATCATATCTTAATTAAATACAAATTGTGATCGGATATTATATTTTTTGAGTTAAGTGAGAAAAAAATGTACACAACTTAAACAAAAGTAATTAATCTGGTGTTTTAACCTATAAAATAAACTAAAATATTTTAATAAATCAGTCCTATTTATTAAATTTTAAGATTAAATATTTATTCGGTATCAGTTAGTTTTGAAATTAAATAATTTATCTTTCTCATTATAATCATAATTATGTCCTTAATCCTATCTTTAGTTTTTTGAAACAATTACCCATAATTAAGAGTGAGGAAAACATTGGTTTAACTATAATTTATAACATAAGCCATCCATAACAAAAAAAAATTACTTAATATAGATTTCATTATAGAAATATATTAATATTAATATAAATTATATAATTTTTTCTAAATAAATGTTCAAACTTTTTATTTATTTATTCAAGTGTCTAACATTTATAAAATTTTAAGATTTTATTTTTTAAAAAAAACATTAAAAACTTATTTTAGAAAATAATTATTTTAAAAGAATTACTTGAGTCTCGCCTCACCCTCACCCTCACCCCCACCCCCGCATCCCCTTTTCTCCCCCAACCCTCGCATGTCTGCTACATAATTACTTGAAGAAGACCAAACAGCCGATCGACTTCCATTGTCCGAGTGTCATTGCCCAAACAACCGACCAAAGGGATTTAAGGAAATTTTTTGGGATTTGAAAATTTTCAAAATTACTAGACCATGACACATGTCACTTAACAAAATTTTTAAACAACGTTTATTATTTACACACCTAAAATGACAATATTTGTAAAGTTAGATATCTGGATGAATCGAAAAAAGTTTAAACACTACTTTAAAAAAAATAGCACAGATAGAGACACACCGCAACAAATAGTTAAGGATAATAACATTTATCACGGCTAACTTGAATAGTGGACCGACCCGAATCAAAATTTTTTAAATAACTAAATTGTTTTAAATTAGCGACGAAGCCAAACGTACTAAAAGTTGCCACTTGCCAATTAACACTTACGATCAACATGAACTACACAGGTGGATTCGAAATTTATGAATAACGACAGAAAAAGCGATAAATTCGATAGGTTCGTCCGTATTAAATTCCAAAGGAACACTTCTCCGAATATTTTTACAATAGAATGACGATAAGTGATATTTACATATATTCCCACGCCAAAATGAGAGAACCGAGCAGTTGCAGAACCATGACATTAGTTACAAATCTGCTTTCAAAGAGTTCGTCTTCATCTCCGCCATATAACTTACTTCCTAATAAAATATGATAAAATAGGTGCATACGAAATTAATTATAAAAAAATACTATTATAACTCAATCAAATACAATTATAACTTACAAATAGTTTGGTGGAGAGCCTCACACGTTGTCCTACAGGCACTATCAAAACGGTAATAAATGTAATTTTAATATGGGAATAGAACTAATATCAATATGTGCTCTATATGATAGAGTTCTTATTTCCTAATTAGCTTCGCCTAGCATCAATTATCACCATAACAAGGTCTGTCTCTGGGTTTTGTGTTAAGCTTGGAAATTCTTTCATTTCATAGAAATCGAAGAAACAGAATACAATGGTAAGATCGTTGACAAAAGCTGAGTACAGGAGCATAGTTGTGACTTAAGCAGAGCTGGTATGGCTAGATGGTTTGCTGTTTAAACTCGGTTCTGAGAGGAAGCATCCAATCAAACTACACTCTGATAGTAAAGTTGCTTCATGTTGCTAACCCTGTTTACCATGATCGGACGAATAATATAAAGATAAATTGCCACTTTATTAGAGAAAAGATCCAACAAAAGGCTTCATCACAAACCGCAAAGTACAAAGGTTACATATAGAATTACATCAGAATCTAGTTACCGAATAGCTTTCTAAACATACCCTTAATATAAGAACTAAAAAGCTGATATTTGTCACCATTGGTATTTGGCAGCGACGATGACTTCCTCATACTTCTCAGCCGCATTGTCCCAGCTTAGATCTTGCTTCATTCCCCGTATTTGCAACCCTTCCCAGCTTTTTTTATACTCTCTATATGTCAATAAACAATTCCCTAATGCATGTATCAGCTTGTTTGCATCCGCACTACCGAACGTCCACCCGAGCCCCGACTCTTCGAATGGATTGAATTTCTGGACCGTGTCCCTCAATCCACCCACTGCATGGACAACCGGGATCGTCCCGTAGTTCATAGCATACAGTTGGTTCAGTCATTAAAATTTTACGTCTGTTCCCTGATTATGAGTATAAAATTATATCAGCTTAGTTAAAATTTTATAAATTTAACTTCATTCACTAATATAAAATTTTACATCAGTTCCTGATTATGAGTGTAATAAGGCTTAATATACTTTTTGATGATTAAACTATATCTTAAAAATTGATTTAATATTTAAAATATTTTATTAAAAATAAATATCTAATATTTTTTTTATATTTTTAGATGTTTATCGTTATATTTTTAATTTTTTAATAATAAAATTATTATTTTAAAAATTTAGTTTTCTTTTTCAGAAAAAAACCGGTTCGTCAAACCTCCACACCAACACCCTTCGTCCCCTTCAACAAATTTGCATGGGCTGAAACAACAAATGAAGGCAAGGTGATTGTCGATCAAGGGCTATCAAGGACCGAAACAATAAATTTCTAGATTTAAGGCTATTAGGTTTAGGAATTGGGTATTTAGGGTTTTAGAGATTAGAAATTTAAGTTTTGAGTTTGAGGATTGAGATGATAGCAATGGTGATGATCGACATTGGGTAGCCAAAAATGAATTATGGTCATTCGACGACAGATGGGTGATCGGAGATGGTCGACGGTCAAAGTAAAGGAGAATAGAATAAGAAATTTTTTGAATTGTGGTTATTTTTTTGCAAAATAGTAAAGTTTAGAGTTTTTAAAATATAATAATATTTTTAAAAAAATTAAAAAATAAAAATTTCAAAATATAATAAAATAATTTTTGAAATTTTATATGTGTAACACATGTAACGATCATTACCGTCCAGACACTTAAAAATGTAACATTAAAAACATTAAGTACCTATTTTTAACAAAAAAATATATTTAAGTAATAAATTATTTTCACTAAAAATTGTATTAAACCTTATAATAATGACCCTTAGACGATTAATCATTTTTTAATTATGAAATGATAAAATTAACTCATACGAGTTGTAATTTTCATTAAAGTTTAAAATTTAAAATTTTGAGAATATTATAATATTAAAATTTTAATGAAATAATTTTATTATTTTTATGATTTTATCTGATAAAATTAATCTTTAATTAAATTATTAAATAAAATAACTAAAAACCTCATTGTTTATAAAAAATATTTTTTTTAAAAATTCATAAATCATTTAAGATATTAAAAAATAATTCTTTTGACTAAATTTGAAATAATCAAATTACTTGAAAATAGATAATAAATTATTTTTAAATTGCAGTTAAGATTTATGTGCACAGCGGCCTTAAAATATTACGTAACATCTTCTTCACTTTTGTTGTTTACATGTGTAAATTATTATTACTCTTTTCTTTTAATTTGAATGGTGAACTATAAATAATTGTTTAGTGGACGGAAATAAGAGAAAAGATAAATAGAAGAAGATGATGAACACTTGAGAGAGAGAGAGAGAGAGAGAAACTATGATCTTTAAAAAAACTATAATATTTTCTTTCTTTAGTCTTGCATGATAATTTTTATACATCCCTTATTAAATTAAAATAAATTTAATATTCGAATCAAATCATTTGTATTTAATATTTAACGGAAGTGTTGATGCGGTAGTTAATAAAATTACTACAATTATATATATATTTGGTCAATGTTACTTATATATTCTATTAATTTATTCCTAATTTTAATATTTGAATCAGATCGTGCAACGTTTCACTAATACCAAATATTATGGCACGTGTCGTCATCCGATTGGAAGAGTTAATTAATTTAATTTAAATATTATTTTGTTTTTGTTTTTTTATCCATTTCAAAGTTCTCACCCTCTTGAGTTTAATTCAATGTAACAATTCAAAGCATTTAAGTGTATTTCTCGTCCACTCCTTATATGTCTATTTAAATTTTATAATTATTATTCTTCATGATTTTCATTTTATTCGTGTTTTTAATTATTTTTGTAGAATTGTATTTTTGAAAGTGAATATAAACTGTTGCAACAATTGTCGAACGAAAGCAAAGGAAAAGTTGCAAAAAATCAATGGTAATTTTATGATTCGAATTAAATTTGGAATTAAAATAATAATATAATAATATTTTCAAACAATATGAGATTGATGAAAAAGTTTGTTCAATTCGATTAATATTTTTTTTAAAAAAAGTTTAGCTCAATTAACGGTTAATGAAAAAAATTCAATTAATTCAATTAATAGTAATTAGGTTCGATCAATGGTTGAATTAACCATTTGAACACCCCTAAGAAAAGGGTTTCTCCTTGAAGTAATCCTCTCTTAAACCTGAAAGATCTGAAAATTTCTCATTAATTCTCGAACAATATGAGACTGATGAAACATAGTTCATAACAAGTTACACCCAACTAGCATCAAACCCTATCTTTAGCATAATATTTTTTATAAAAGAATCCACTACCTTATCATATGATTTTTTCCATATCAAGCTTAACTACAACCCATTTGTTAGGATCAATTTTAGAGCCAATAATGAAGCAACTCATGCGTATTTAGAGTATTATCAGTGATGAATCTGTCTAAAATAAAGACGTTTTACTTTTTCAAAATACAACTGGAGATGATATTCTTAAGACAATTTACAATGACTTTTGAAACTATCTTATAAATCATCGAAGAAAGAGCAGTAGGTCTAAGCTTAGGATAATAAAGTTTTGGGATCAAGACAACCATGGTTTGGTTAACAGATTCAAGATTAATATTTCCTTACAACATGTTTAAACATAATGTAACAACTTCCTCTGCCGTGAATTATTTGCAAAGAGTAGCATTCATCTCCGGTGTAACACATGAGATAATCAAAGTTAAATTATGTTAAATTTGTCTTTGTACATATTCTATATTATATTGATATCATTTAGCTATTTTTCTTATGAATTCTAAACAATAAATTATATAACACAAGTTCTTTTAAATAAAATTTGTGGATACTCTTTTCCTCCTTCCGTTATTGAGTCCCATGATATGAAGGGGGTTTAACGAGGCTAACTTTCCTATGAAAAAAATAGAACTCTATTCATTGTTATTGTGTATGAACATCAAATCTTTTTCTATTAATCTTTATTACTCCCATGAGAAGAGAAGCTGAGTATTAATGGCCTGGGCCACAAATTTGTATTCCATGTTTTGATTACAAATTGTCATCCGTGTGAAACTCATAGATTAGTTGTTAAGTACTTATATCCACTGTATTTGAGTAATATTAATTAATGCAGAAGCAGAAGTATTGAAGTGGGTATTTGTTGGGAAAGGCAATTAACATGATTGATGAATCAGTTTGGAGGTAGGCACTTAACCATCTCCTAACCTTCAATCATTCTTTCTGCTTCTCACAATTAACTTATCGATCCATTCCCTCTATTTAAACTCACACGGGAACCTGAGTTTTCTGCATCAATGGGGCAAAGCACCGAGTTGAGAGCACCCATGGAACAAATTCAGAACCAAGAGCAAGATAAGGGGAATCTCCATAAGCAAGGCATTGATGATGTGATACTGATGGCTCCCAAGATGCCCAAGGATGAGGCCGAGAACATTCGGCGGCCTCGAGGGAGGCCAGCAGGCTCCAAGAACAAACCAAAACCACCGATCATAGTCACTCGTGACAGTGCCAATGCGTTACGTGCACATGCAATGGAGGTGAGTTCGGGTTGTGATGTGCATGAGAGTTTGGCTAGTTTCGCAAGGAGAAAGCAGCGTGGCATTTGTGTTCTCAGTGGCAGTGGATTCGTAACTAATGTTACACTCAAACAACCAGCCTCATCTGGTGCGATTGTTACCTTACATGGAAGGTACGAGATTCTGTCGTTGCACGGCTCGATCCTTCCGCCTCCTGCCCCATCCGGGATTACTGGCCTGACCATTTACCTTTCCGGGGCACAGGGACAGGTTGTCGGCGGAGGCATAGTCGGCGCACTCATTGCTTCTGGTCCTGTTCTCATCATGGCTGCATCCTTCATGAATGCAACCTTCGATCGTCTCCCTTTGGACGAGACGGACGAAACGACAACAGCAGCTATGCAGAACCAATACCATCAGCAGAACGGTCAGCACCATCGGCTGGACATTTCGGATTTGTATGGGATGATACCGCACAACTTGATCACCAATGGAACTAATCCTCCTGAGGTATACTCTTGGGCACCGGGACGAACCATGTCAAAAACCTAAGCTGAGTGATCAACTAGCAAGCAGTAATTGGGAGAAGTTTCTCAAATCCTGCCGTTCCAAGTATGATGATTTAGTGATAGTAGCATGCAGCTGTTGATCCTAATGGAATTTAGTGCTTTCTTTCTATATGTAACGTTCATCAACCTCGGCCAAGCAAATCTTGGTTTGGTTGTAGTTGTGTGATTTTAAATAATACATTGGATCTCCATCCATTATCTTCTTTAAGTACCATAAATCACCATGCATTTCTTGCAATATATATAAACTTCTTTCAAGTATTAGAAATTATCATGATTTAAGGCCTAATATCAAAATTATCCCCCAACATTTATTAAAATAGTCATTTTGACTTTTATTTTTTGGAGTATTTTACTCCTAACATTTTTTATTTTGAGGCAAAAAGGCTCCTCTATAGATGAAAATGATAGTTAACAAAAGGTTAACACTCCAAAATAAGAGTCGTTTTATCCTAAAATGAAACATTGAGGGTGTAACACCCCAGATTACAGATTAATAGTTTTGAGTTTGGCCGCGAGGTATGTAGACCTTGTGGAGTCATAATTAAATCGTTGGGTCGAGCGAGAGTTTATTTGGGTTTAGAATCGGGCCCAAAAAGGTTATAAAAAGGAGATTTTGGTATATAAGACAAAATATTAAGGACCAAAAGTGTGATTATCCCATTTTTGAAAAGATGAGGGTTTTATTTCCTTCTTCATCATCTTCTCTTCCTCTTCCTTCTTCTTCTCTTCCTCCTCCTTCTCTTCCTCCTCCTTCTTCTCATTTTCCTTCTTCTCATTCTCCTCTAAGTGCTTTAGCTAAGGGTAAGTTTCTTGAGTCCTTTTATACTTCTTTTGAACTTAAAATTCGTCCTTAAATCCTCCAACAACATCCTTGTTCTTTATAAACTCATTTCTTTCTTGTTTTGCAAGAGGTTATGGGGTTGAGTGCTTAAATTTAAGTGGAAGATAAGGAAACAAGTGTGGTTGAAGAAATGAGCTTCATTTCAGATTCTCTAGCTAAGGTAGTGTATTTTTAATCCTTTGTTGTGTTATGAATTTCCTAAATGTGATGTCTTGTTAAGGATTTAAATATTTGAGCATATTTGGGGGTTTTGTTTGATTCTTGCAATAGATGATATTTTTTGTGTAAAGCTTGTGTTTTTATAGTGCTAAATAAAATTAAATGACTCCTAAGCCTTAGAAGTTGATTTGGGACTAAACTAGAGTGTTTGAGAGGATTTTTTTAGTGTTTCATGAGTCTATTTCTTGGTTTTTTGGTTAGGGTATCGATATTGGATGAACAATATGGATACTAGATGAACTGGATAATTTCTAGGCATTTTATACAAGGAGTATCGATACTCTAAGGAGAAGTATTGATACTGAAGTCCTGGTATTTATACTGAGGGTAATAGTATCGATACTAGTGGTAATGTTTACAATCCAGTAGCCATTTTTTGTACCGATACTGAAAGGGGTATCAATACTTGACCTATGAGTATCAATATTGCATGTAGGGTATCAATACAACTCATTTCGATTGGTTAGATTCGACTTCATTAAGGCTCGTAAGAGTTAAGGATGACTCGTAATGGTGAGACTTAGTCTGTGAGGGACTTAAATTGCAAAAGATGCCTAGAAGATGAGTAATCATGAACGAATGATCGTTTCAAAATATATGTCAACAAGTGATATGGTGAACAACGTGACTAGCGTGATAGAGGAAATCGAGTAATACGTGAACATCTATAATCAATGACGTGTAAGTTGCCCTACTGGTTCAAGGGCGAACCAATAGAAAGTGCGATAGGAATGACTGGGGAGTCATTGTCAATGAACTATCACTGAATCGAGTATTGGGCTAGTTATAATATACTAAGTGGGTAGCAATGAATATGAATTGGCTTAAGGGCATAAAACACTAAAATAATATTAAACGGTTGCATAACGTTCTAAGAGAGAGAACGAACGAGATAGTAGTAAGCGAGGGAATGATCTCAACTACTTGTGTTGTGATTGATAATAATGACAAGATAATCATGTGATAATAATGTTGCATGTGTAATAACCTTATGAGGTAAGATTTCATAAGACTTATGCCTTTGTTTGCCACTCAGGAAATAATAAGGACACCCGAATCACTTGTGTGAGTGAGTGACGATCATCTAATTGTTTGGGAAATATTCCGATAAATCCAAGTTAGTCTTAGATCACTTTAGGCGCTACTTGGATGTTGTTATGATGCTATGTAACCCAAACATATCATGTGTAATCAATAGGAGTAGACTAGCTAAGCAAGGTATCGATGATGTGTGACCCGGACCTAGCCTAAGGTTTGTAAGAGGTGTTGATACTGTGTAACCTAGACCTCGCCTATGATACTTTAGAGATGTTGATGTTGTGTGACCTAGGACTTACCCATGGTATCTCTAGTAAGCAAATAGGGATGTGAGTTCCATGATGTAAAGTAACCCCGAGATACACCATGATACTTATTTGTTGTTATGTGATTGTACTTGGTGTCTCTATGATACTAGGTACTATCATTGTGTGTTGCATGATGATGTATTTTAGTATAATACTGAGGTTAGAGACCTAGTATACGTTTACTCATGGTGATGCCCTTACTAGAGACTGAGGGAAGCATGAGATTTATACTATAGCTATAGGATTATTGAACCTTAAGTAGGTAGCACTTGATTATGACCATGCATGTAACTAATGTTTATTATCATATCTTCTAGCATGCTTATATTTATGAGATTCATATATTGGTTTATATTAGCGATTGTACTACTAGGCTTTGTAAGTTCAACGTTCGGATGTTCTCGTTCCCAGGTTTGTATATTGAGCCCTTCTAGGAGCACCGTAGCAGTAGGATTTCCAGTATTCCTCATAGAATATTGTTTGGTTACTTGTAGTGGGCATATGTATTCAGAGGACCATTACTTATGTATGATGATTTGTAAGCACTTAGTTGTATTAAATTATTTAAATTGTGTCATGGAGCTTTAATTAATAAAAAATATTTTGTTATTATTTTGAATTATTGGTTTTTAAATGGTAATTATGAGTATTAATTAAAAAAATAGTTAGCCAATGCGGTGGTTCCATGTGACATTTAAATCCTTCAAACTTGAGTCAGATCAAATTAGGGTGTTACATTTAGTGGTATCAACGCATCAGGTTGAGTCAGTCCTAGGATCCAGTTGTCATTTATTGTAAGGTGTCAGTGAATACATGCCCCTAGATACTGAAAGTACTCTTATAAGACTAGAATATTGATTGTGTTTCCTCCTTTTAACTGTGGTTATAAAAGAGGTAAATGTTTTAGGTTTCGAGTGTAGTTTCGTTAATAGGATGGCGAGCCATGTCTCTCATCTCAAAAAATTTAGCAGGGAGCTCTTACCTAGGGTAGAAGAACCTAGGGTTTCGATAGTTGAGATTCATTAAGACAACCTTCTTTAGAGGTTTTGAACTCCTCACTTAGAGAGAAATATGATGTTTTCATAGAGTACATATTGCTCAACCAGCTGCTCTAAATGTGACAACACTGATAGTCTCTAATAAATGGACCGATGAGGTATAATACATTCAAATTCTATGGTTTGGGTAATGATGACTCTATTTTGGTTTATCAGTTGTTGATAGATACCATGAAGACTTTGAAGCAATTTTATCTTACCTCCAAGGGTAGGCTTGGATGTACCATGATTTTACTCAAGAGTAACGTTATCGACTGGTAGAAGACTGTAGAGATAGCTCTGCAGCCCGAGATGTCTGAGTGGTATCAATCTCTAAATGAGTGTAAGGATAATATATCAGCTAAGAGTATGGGGACGTCTTTAGGATGCAATCCCTCTAGCCAATTAAAGATATTGTACGATGCTTGAGTATAAGAGATATTTTCTTTGGTCGACTTGATGTACTTCAGAGTTGGTTTTAGCTGAGTCCTTAAGGTGCAAAAGGTCCCTTTGAGGGCTTTGTATAGGTACCTATGTGCATTGGAAACAAAACTGCCTAAAGTAATTTTCCGAGTTGACACGATGGTTAAGGCTTTGGAAAGGGTATAAGACATGAGGACGAGTTGGGTAGACGATAATGATAGGTTAAATATGAGGACTTTGGTATCGGTAAATCTATCTCAATCGAGTAGTTAGGAGAGTCTGAGATTCTCATGAGCAAAGGTGAACGATATCAGTTTAGTCTCACCAATCGAGTTGGAGGCCTGAAGTAAAGTCTCTTTGGAGATCGCTAGCTTTACTATCTATGGCAAGACGATAAGTTCTGATGGAGTACTATCATACCTGGAGTGTCTGTATGTGGAATGAGGTATTGAGGGAAATGCCTAAGATTATTTAGAACATGATTTAAAGAGGGACCCTTAGAGCTTTTGTGAAAGGCTACCCTAAATTGAAGAGTGGCCCCAGTAGCTCAGCATGGCATAGAGTATATTCATAAATGTGTCAGGGCTTTGCCCAGGTAAGAGACTAAATAAGCATTTCAACCTATTTCTGGTTCAACTGCTTACGATCCAGTTTGTTAGATTTTTACAAGGCCTAGGAAAGATGTTGATTACGAAGATGAGATGTCAATTAAATTTTAAGTAATTTCAGTTATTTATGTTGCATTAGTATATATGCATTTTTGCATTCTTTTGTGGAACCTAGTGAGTTTTATAGGAACATTACTCGTGTAGAAAATTCTGGCGTTAGGATCCAAGTGCCTAGTTAGAGGATCTTAATAGAATAGGTAAAGTTTACCTTGGATATTCTTTAAGGGTTTGGATTAGGCTCGATTATCGATTAGTGCTAGAGTTACTTTGATCTCAGGGTTATAGGTCTAGAGGTATGTGGATAGGTAATAACCCCTTGTTGAGTCAAAGGTAGACTCTAAGAAATATCTAGTCACAGAATCTTTCACCCTTATGTGTTCCCTAAGGGAGCATCCTTGTAGGTTGTCAGGCTAGATGCAAAACTATAAGGATGTTTTCGTATTGTTAG